AACTACGTGGTGGTGAGGCTCCGCTCGTTTTCTTTCCCTTTTGCCTGTATGAAAGGGTCATGATTTTTGCGGCTGGTTTGGTGTTGGTTTTTTCCCCCTCTCTCCTTTTTTTTTTTCCTTTTTCCCAAGTGTCTGTGTAGCATGTTGAGTGTTCACTCCTCCGTCAGACTAAAAGTGCTGTTATTTCGCGCAGGTGTTAATGCCAGTCCTCACCACCACCCTGTGGAAGTAAATTAGCCCTAGAACTCAGAGCTCGGGGAAAAAAGCCTTCGTGATTTGCAAAATGTCATTTATGTCCTTGTTGACTAAGGAATCCTTGACTCTGAGAGAAGATGATGCCTGACATCTTCGAGTAACATGGAATAAATACATATTTTTTTCCTGTTTAGGTGCTGTGGTGGAAATCTAAGCGAGGGTTCTGGTCACGATGTTGAAGTTTATAATGATTAATAAAGAAAAGGCAGCGTGCTTATTGTGTTTGGAACTGGAACACTGCTTGGTATTGCTTTGGCTGAATACTGACTAACATTCTCCTTGTGAATCCATGACGTCAAACCGCAGGTGACAGCAGTGAAGTGACTTGAGGCAGATGCGGGTTAGGAATGTGAAAGGGAAATTATGTGACCACAGTTGGTACATTTCACTGGTTCAAAAAATGAGACCGTGAGGCTAGTGGAAATAATGAAGATACACAGCAGACAGTTTCTTTACTGAAATCTGAGCTACATAAGATTTTCGCCCTTCTGACCACAAGAATGACAGACGTTTGAAAAACATGGTTGAACATTTAGGTAAAGCATACTGAGAATCCACATCTGGTCAGCAGTCCAAACACTGCCGTAAGAAACATATGGGCAGTGATACGTTAGATTGCTCTATAAAATCTCCAGTGGAGTTTGAACATTTACAGCTTCTGGGGACACGAGTTTCAAGTGTACTGGGAAGATCATATTTAATAAACTAATGTGTAACAGAGTACAATTTTGAGCATTTTAGTGAAGATTTGCAGTATTCTGCTGTATATGGTAAGGGAACCATATCTGTGCAAACTACAGAACCTGTTTTTAAGCACAGATGGAGCCAGATATGCCCTAGCCACCTTTTTTGTAGCAGCCAGTCTACTTGACTGCTGAGTTGGAGGATCAGTACGGTATGTATTGACAAAAAACCTCCACAAAACCCAAGGTATAATTTTCACTGTATTTGCTTCCTCTCTTCTCCCACCCTCCCCCTTTGCACTGCTATTATAGCACCTTTTTGTTTTCTTCGGTTTTGTCATGGAGAGTTGGTTGTAAAAGGTAGTTTTGCATTACATAAGCATCCCATTTATTGGGAGAGAAAGGACAGGATACTGTTACCCTTAGAAAACTATTAAGTAACATCCCTTTTCCCTACTATAATTTTTGTCAACCGACTGTGGACTCCAACAGTCTTGTGGAAAAGAAACACCTGTTTTTCTATGCCATCAAAAGCTGTACAGCTCCTTTCGGTACCGCTTTATTGACTTTACTTTGGCTGGCAGAATTAGGCTTTGAAACCCTGTGGAGTGGAGCAGTGGCTGGTGACAACTACTCATCAGCACAGATCTGATGGCTAGCAGATTTCCTTGCTCTCAGAGTCCACCTGCAATCTATTTATGACTCCAACAAATGTTTCTTCTGGTTTAGGCCAGTAGAAACCTTCTGGTCTCTATTTATAACCCAAGCTTCACAGCCTTCCCCGATTTACGCCCCTTCTTTCTCCCATCTCCTCCTCCTCCTGAGGATAAGGGAAGAAAACCTGAACCTCATCCGCAGTCAGTTAGTAGCATATCAAAACTTGTGCTTCCTCTGTTCAGCATTGTCCTCACCAAATCAAAGGCATAACAGCAGTGTTCGTGTAATGAGAAAATGTGATATATTTTTAATTGTGTTTGTTGTGGCAGCACTGGAAGGCGTTGCTTGATGTGCTTTTCCAGAGAGTCCTGTGGCTCTCACCCCGGTTAGGTGATCCCTGCACCCCACTCCACAGCTCATCCCCGGCGATATAAGTAACAGCATCACAAAGGGATCCTTATGCGGGTATTTAGTGGGGTCCAGCCAGCAACAGAAGTACATCAAAGGTAATCTTAAAGAAGGAACCTTTCTTTGCAGCTTTGTCATTTTATATTCTGAAAGGTCATTTCTGAACCAACTGTGCCAAAAAAGGCCCTTCCCCAGAAGTTTACTGTTGTTATTTTTTACTTTTTGATTACAGTAACTTGCTTATCCCCCAAACAGACTAAAGAACAATAAACAAATACAAAAGGAAAAGGAACAGCTCATCAATAACAAAGACCTGCGTTTTAAAGCTTTGAGAGTACTGACTCTTACATCTCACTCCAAGCAAAGCAGGAGTCCTGCAGAGAAAGGAATCTAAGAGATATGAAAATTATAAAGATAGTAAAAACAATGTTTGGTAGGGATATTTTAGCTTGGTGTGGAGAACTGAGCTTTAAAGTGCAGCATACTAAGGAATGTGGTTTTTCTCCCACTGCTGTACACTGTGGAGTGCATAGGGAGTTCTGCATTTCAGACCCTGTGAAATACTGTAACCTCGATGAATGCAGAAGGTCTGGCTTTCTCTTCAAGTTTAAATTTCGAAATTGGGCAGCTCAGAAGTATTATATGTGGCATAAAAAACTAAATGGTATCTAAACCTAATCCTCTGAAATCATGCCAAAATAGTCTCTTCCAAGAGGCAACAATACACTCCACAAATCTAACTTATTTCTGTGTTCTTCCTCCCCCCCCTTTTTTTTTTCTTTTTTTTTTTAATTTATTTTCAAACTCTGAGTACAAAGAAGACACTAACCATGGATACTGAAACTGTGCAATTTGGTGTAATTATATTCCCCCCCATAGATTTAATGAAGGACTTTTAAGTACAATTTATCTTTGATAAATAGTCCCTCTGCACAGAATGTTTATTAGATTGACAGCAGAATACACTCTGCAAGCTTTTTTTCCTTGCCACTTATGACTCAGATGAATTTTAATAGGAGTAAAAAGCTTTTATTTGCACAGTAATTTCACTTAAGGATCATATCCTTCAGAAACTGGCAGACACTTGTATGTCTTGATTGCAAAACAGACACTCAAGAGTAAAGAAACATGCATAAGATGTTATTATTTGACTTGTCACACTGCTCCAATTCTATTTGCAACTTATGTCACCAATTCTCCTATAGGCATCTCCCCTTCTCCCTACAGCCTACATGGAAGCGTGAGCACGTTACACGTACACACACACTTTACTTCTGAAAGAAGAAGCTGCCAGGAGCACATCACACTGGATGTAGTTGCTTGAGCAGGGAGAGAAGTAGCTGTATTTTGGGTTGGAAAATGTGAGTGCCACAGTCTTAATTGTCATGATGATGCCTGCGGGAGGCTTGGAGTTAGAGCTGCTTTTTGCATACCAAATGGTGCTGGTTTCACTGCGCCCTATCAATTGTAGCCAAGGCACAGGGTTGGCAATGGGTCCTCAGATCTTTGGGTGCCACTTACAGCTTCAGGGAATATCGTCGTGGCATTTTATTCCACTTTCTGAGGTAGGGTGGGAGGATTGGTCCTTTTAGCCATTTGCCTATATTTCTGGTTAGAAGCAAGTATTTCTAAGTGTGTGGCTGCAGTGTTCATCACACATAATGTTGTGTGTCCACATGCTGTTTGTGGAGGATGATAATCCTCCGTTATGTTGCTTTAATTTGGCTTTGAAAGCTGCTTTTTAAAGATGTCATTGCAGAGCTAATCACCTTTTCCCTGTATTCCTAAATACCTTGTTGTGCTCTATACAGAAGCAGAAGGTAGAGTCCCCCTTTACCTTCACCATAAGGATATCGGATTTTTTCTGTCTGTGTAAAAATGAAAAGTAAAGACGTTTTATTGTTAATAAAACAATAGCTAATTGTTTTGGAGGAAAACATACTGTTCCAAGGAAGGTGTTGAACTTTACATCAGCAAAATACGCATTTGAATTGTAAATGCGGTTCATCCAATGCTTATTATTAAAACCTTTGTTTAAATTATTGATGAAGTGTGGTGCTGGTCCTCCCTCGCTTGGCCTTGGCGAGGCAGGAGTGTCACGCAGAGACCTGCTGCCATCTACTGGCTCCTGCCTTCACTCTCAGGTGCCCTGGGACGAGCCTGAAGGCCGAGGCTGAGGGCACTGAGCTGTCTGTCAAAGGCATTGCAAGTTTTAGAAACTAAAACCCTGGGGCTGAAATTAGTTTAGGCAGCATTTATATGTATTCAGGAAGGTTTTGTTTAAAGGGATGCTCTCAGACGCTTGAGGGTCATCATATTCTCTTCCATTTCTATAAAATATACTAGAAAAAGCATCTTTTTTTCTTGGGGTAGATAACAGGTGCTGAATGGTTTTTGTTACAGATAAAGTATATTCAGTACAGCAATAGTGTTTCATCGTTCTGCTTGTGCCAGAAAAATAGAATTGAAATTGTTTATTATGTTTTAACCACAAGATCCAGGGAAGTTATTAACTTTAAACATTAAATACATGGTAAAAATAAATGTTTAGAAGTAAACATAATGTTTAATATCAATCATGTCATTGAAAATCTGGCAGACTTTTCCAAAAGAGCAATTTCCAATTCAGCACAACGCTGGAAATTAATCCCTAATTATTCCTTATCCACCAAAAATAGTGTGCAGTAAACATAAGGAGATTTCTGTTTGTAAAATTTACATCTACCATCAATTTTAAAATGAATCTGACATTTCTTTGCTGTGCTTGATTCTCTCCCTTTATGTGCACATTTCTCTAGATTGGGCTTGCATATTTTACTTTCTACGTCCTTAAAAATGAAACTCTGAATACAGATTTCAAACAGTGTTTTTTAGACACTCCTGTGAAGAACAGAGAACAGATGTATTACATAAAAACATGCCATAAAATAGTGCAGATTATTGACTGGAACTCACCAAGGTGCAGTTTTCTAAAACATTCCTCTTCCTATTCTTTAGTACAAATTACAAATACTGACGAAGGTTGCTGCGGAGCTGAGCAAGTACATGCCAGAGAAAGCAGCAGAGGACACCTCCAGCATTTTGAGATCTCCCATGCCTGGAACAGTGGTGGCAGTTTCTGTCAAGCCTGGGGACACGGTAAGAAATGTGATCTCTATATCTGCATTTTCATTACATATCCACTGAAATTTCTCCTTGGTGCAACTGAAAATGCAGGTCACAGGGTTTGGGTTGGGTTTTTTTTTTTCACATCACCTGTAGAATAAAGTGTGCTGAAGGGTGGATGCTTTTTTTTTTCATTTGAATTATAAAAACTAGTAAGGAAGCACAATTCAAATTAAGCTGGCTTCAGAAGGAACATTTTCAGCTGAGTAGAAGTCCACAGCTGAAACTCAACAAATAGCTTGGTTTTGTATCACAGATGCCTTGGTGGGGAGTGGGGGAAGGAAATTGTGTGTGTATATATGCGCATGTAAATATACATAAGTGTGTGTGTATATATGCTGTTAGTGCTAGCAGGTGGGGATTGTTGTTTTTCTGCCCTGAATTAATGAAAATATTGCTTTAAAAAAAGCAAGAGAGTGATTGCAGACACGAGAATATTTGAATCAGACCGTGCATATTAATTTAAAAGTACTATTGTTAGTTAAACAATGCCATAAATGTGTATGTGGCACTTACATACAAGCAGAAAGCTTTAGTCATAGAGTTCATCATTTATGGCAACGAAACCTAGATTTTCTTGAGAAATGAGATCAAAATCTCAAGACCAAAATCAGCATTGCACTTACTCGGTAATAGTCATCATTTGTACTGGTGAAGTGATTTGTTTGCTACATTTTGCTATGATTTCACTTTTGGTTTTAGAATCTATGGTTGATTCTGTCTGTTTATAGAGAGAAGGGAGTCATCATGTTAATATTAAAGATCTGTAGGTGCAAATATTTGTATGAATGAAATAAAGACATTCCAGAGGAAACAGAACTAAGTGCAGCTAATTAGGAATTACAAATTCTTTCTACATTTAGCTTTCTAGTTTTGTGATCTGTTCATGCACACACTGTTTAGATACCTTTAAAAAAACCAAGGAGTATTCAATTAAAATTAATCAGTATGTCATCACATGGACAGAGGAATCTGTGCTTTCCCTATCTAGGCAATAGAAGTGGCTGCATGAGAGAGATCTTAAGCAAATACTTTATTTTTTTGTGTGTGAAGAGTGAAGGGAAACATCTTAAGTCAAGGATTTTGAGACTTTTAATTTTTTTAAATTTTTTTTGAGAAGTTAATTCTAAATGTTACCAGCCTTCTTGTCCTGAAGAATAGTTCTTGTTGTCTTGAAGGAATAGAACCAGTGGAGAAGGAGGCCACAGCATAAGGGATTTTAAGTAAATAAATAAATGAACCTCCTTCCACAAATCCACAAGTGGTGCTGTGCATCAGAGCACAGGTTGTTAAATAATGTGTGTGAGATTTGGTGTTTTTTCTCTTCTCCTCCTGCAGCTTTTTGCTGGAGGCACTGAGTGGCAGAGCATTTGTACAGCATAATCTATGTTCTGCTGACCTGAGCTTGTCAATGCTAATTGTGTGGCTTTAGTTGCAAAAAACACATTTGTGTTATTGAAAAGGGTTTAACTTAAATCCTTCCTCTTCAGGACTAGTGTCAAAACGTTAAAAAAAAAGGCAAGGCAGCAAGCGAGATGAGGGTAGAGATGAGGGTAGCATCAGGGATGGTGAGATTCAGATTACGTCTTGGCTGTCGGTCAGGAACCAGCTCACTCCCTACAGCTGGTGAAGGCATGATGGGCAGGGAACTGCAGCTCCCGGATAAATACAGCTCTTTCTGTTGCACTGCTTGGGAAAAGTCTAATTGCATTAGTGTGCTGGAGAAATGGGAATTTAAGTAGATCCTATTCTGTGCTTGCAACAGGGTTCGGCAGCTCAAATTTGCACTGTGTGTGAAAACATCACAGCCAAAAAATGGGAGAACACGAGGTAGTTGTCCATCCTTCCCCTCAGGTGTTGCTGCTGCCAGCAATAAAGCTGTCTTGTTATTAGCTACTCTGAGATTGTTCTCTCCTGACCTGTGAGCTCTGCTGTCTGGTGTCAGTGCAGCACAGTCTCTGCGCTCACAGAGTGGTCAGTAGCAGAGGGAGCTGAGCTGCCATACCCCTCCTTCAGGTGTAACTTTACAAATGGTGAAGAAACTCCTGGAGAGAGTCAGCTCATCTGTGTCTGCATGGCTGCAGCACTTGCAAACTCATGTTAGTTGCCTACGGTTCAGCTCTAGGGCACGGTGCCTGGTCAGGTGAAGCATATGGCGTTTGTTAGTGCCTCTCCCTGCGTCCACAGCCAAACGAGAAGGCAGCACTGATCTCTGCCTTAGCTTTCCCCACTCCATGTGTCATTGTTTTCCCTTGAAACATAGTGTTCTCATTCAGCTTCTGCTGCTGAAAAATACCTCGGTCTGATGCAGCCTGATAGAAGATTGCATGAGCATCCCCTATCCAGCTGGTCTGATAAGCAGTTTTCAATTCATTTTTTGCCAAAAGATATTGCATATGCAAGGAATTTATTTTCTTTTGTCTGTAAGATGATCTATAGATTTTAGTAACACAGTGGGGAAGTGCTGTTTGTCATTTAGAGAGAAGCTGAACTTGTGATGCTGCCAATTTCTTTAGGTTTTCAGTTACTTTCTACTTTTTTTATTTTCCTTCATGTGATCAGAAGCCTGTAATTAGGTGTCACTCAGTTATTCCTGGAAGCACAAAGAAGGCACTGAGAAGCAGAAAGCAACATAACGAAACAATTTGAAATCTGGCTGACTGGGAAGGAGGTTAATATTATTTAGG